CCAATAAATATATTAACCTGTTCACAAAAGGAAGATAATTAGGTCTGTGCCTGTGAATACAGGGGTCATGGAAAACTACTAGTTTTCTATTTTAAAAAATAGGCTTTATTTTTTAGAAAAGGTTTAGGTTCACAGAAACTTACAGTGGAAAGTACAGAGATTTCCCATACACCCCCTCAACCCACATCCCCACAACTCCTCAATTTTAACATCACACGCCAGAATGGTGCACTTGTTATAATTGATGACCCACATGGATACATCATTATCAGCCAAAGTCCACAGTTTACAATAGGGTTCACTCTTGCTGTTGTACATTCTGTGGGTCCTTACAAATGTACCATGACATGTATCTGTCATTATAATACCATACAGAGTATTTTCACTGCCCTAAAAATCCTGTGCTCCATCAATTCATCTTCCTTCTCCCCTGACCCCTAGCAACCACTGATCTTTTCGCTATCTCCATGGTTTTCCCTTTTTCAGAATGTCATGATACCGGAATCATACAGTATGTAGGATTTTCAGATTGGCTTGTTTCACTTATTGATATGCATTTAAGCTTCCTCCATCCCCTACCACAGTGGTATATTTGTTACAATGGATAAACCTACATGGACATGTCGTTAATGCCCAAAGTCCATAGTTTATCTTAGGGTTCACTCTTAGTGTTGTACATTCCATGGGTTTTGGAAAATATAAAATGATGTGTATTTACCATTATAATATCATACAGAGTATTTTAACTGCTCTAGAAATCCTCTGCATTCTGCCTTTTCATCCTGTCCTTTTCACCCCAATCCCTGACAACCAGTGATCATTTTACTGTCTCCATAGTTTTCCTTTTCCAGAATGTCACATTATTGAAATCATACTGTATGTAGCCTTTTCAGATTGTTTTTTCACTTAGTAATATGCATTTACAGTTTCTCCATGTCTTTTCATTGCTTGATAGATCATTTCTTTTTAGTGCTAAATAGTATTCCATTATCTGGATGTACCACAGTTTTTTATGCATTCACCTGCTGTAGAACATCCTGGTTGTTTCCAAGTCTGGTACTATGAATAAAGCCGCTATAAACATCCTTATGCAGGTTTCTGTGTGGACATAAATTTTCAAATCCTACAGGTAAATACCAAGGGTTGCCATTGCTGGATCACATGCTAACA